AACTAGTTAATAGAATTGGACGCAACAACCGTTGGATGATCCCATAGAACGTTTTTAAATATTTTAGGAATCGATCAACAGGTTCCGCAAACTATATTAGGTTTCTCGGCTAGCTCTTAACCGAATTGGATATAACGATCACGAAATAAAAGGTTTCTCGGTCCCATAGAAAGGTTTATAATATTTTCTGGATCGTTCATTTGGTTACGGAGATATGGACGGAACATATTCCGAAAAACCCGGATTTTGGGAACTAAGTCGTGTTTTGCGGCAACCAGTTAACCGAATTAGACGCAACAACCGCCAAATAAAAGGTTTCATGATCACATTGAACGTTTTTTGAATATTTTTAGAATCGGTCAACTGGCCGGAACATTCTCCGGTTTGTACTCAAATGACATAATCATTCAAAAACCAGTTTCAGTTGAAGTGCCCAGGATGACACGGGCCACATACGGCCATGTTCCGGCGTGGAACTGCTCTATTATGACCTTTGGGCATGTTCGTGGAGTTCTCACTATTTTCCTAACAAGTCTTTCGGAATATCTTATTCATGTTGTATGGAATGATCTTCGGGTGCTTTTGCATTCGAATTTGCCCTCTGTGAGTTTGTCAACGGAGTTTTCAGATTAGTAAGCACTAGGTCCTTCTGATATTCCATCAATGTCCTACAGAATAGCCAATTCAGGTTCTTGGGATTGTATTTGAGCTCTTACGGACATGTCTCAAAGTGTAGAAAAAATGCTGCATAGGATCATGCAAATCTTCTGGACATGAGCTACAAACTCTCAGGACCTGTCAATTGAAACCCACTGTTTTTCCATTGTATTGTAAGTGAGCGCTCAACTTCCGAGGTGAACAGACGCGTTTTTGCTATCGCTCGTGGAAGTCGAACACCAACTAATTTCCAGTGTTAACTGTGTTTTTTCGTATTTTCAATGTCGCTGTGCGTCCAAACGACTCCGCGATGGGCCGTCGAGAAAATACCTTTCGAATAGATTTTTCGTATGTGCCGAAGAAACCGGACCTTGCCAAAGTCCACAAATTCTGTGCGACGGTTCTTGGTCTGAAACAAAGTGAAGTGCTTGTTACGTATACAGAACAGCAGAGCCCTTGATGTTTCGTTCGTGAAAATCGTCGACCTAGAGTTGGCGCAACGAATTTGCGAGGAACATTACCGTCGTCGGAAAAAAATATCCGCTAAGGATCACGCTGGAAGATGGAGCAGTGGAGCTGAGGCTCTTCGATTTGTCCTATGACGTCCTATCAGTACGAAAGCAACGATTCGGAATTGTAGCATCGAGTCGTGGGTCACCATCGACGGTGAAGTGACGAATATATCGTATTTAGGGCAGCTACAAACATGCCGACACTGCCGCGAATACATCCACGTCGGGACTACTTGCGTGCAGATTTAAAAAATACTCGTACAAAAGTCGTACGCCGAAGCCTTTACAAAAAACATTTCAAGCCGACTATACTCCGAACCAAACCAACACACACTCTAACCAAATCGCTCCCAGTGCGAATCAAAACAAAACAACACCGACAACAAAAGTTGTTACCACCGATGCACAACTAACAGAATTTCCCCACGCTAGCCTCTACCTCGGCTTCGATTCCCCCATCGGACAGCGGGTCGTTGACTCCCTCTACAGGTCAACAGCCCCCTCCTAGCGGCGGAGTGGATCGCAAAACTGCTAGTGGCAAGTCCGATGGAAACGAAACATATTCGTCTGTCGGCTCATCCAGCTCAAGAAGGCATCTCCGCAATCGACTACCAGGTAAGAAGCCTCGAGTGCAGGACGACTGCGACGATAAGCGAGATGGGAGTAACCAACTGTCGTAATGGCTGAGTTCTCCAGTTACAACCTCGCCTCCATCAACGTCAACAATATCACGAACGGAACGAAAATTGACTCTCTTCAGACCTTTGTACGGACGCTGGAGCTGGATATCGTTTTCCTCCAGGAGGTCAATGAATGATCAGCTCTCTCTCCCTGGCTTCAACATTGTCTGCAATGTGGACCAGGCAAGGCGAGGAACGAAAATAGCGCTGAAAGACCACATTCAATTCTCGCATGTGGAGAAGAGCCTGGAACGACGTATCATCGCTTGGAGGGTGCAAAACACGACTCTCTGTAATATCTACCCTAGCAGCACACATGTCTCTGAACAATTGTGGTTACTTGTGTGCTACTTATGCCAGTCACAATCAAGTTGTAGTAGCTTATTTCGATCGAAGTGTGCTGCTTGGGTATGTGCCATCGGGGACAGCTGCTTGTGCGGAAAGAGAGAGAGATTCTTAAAGTGTGGAAAACAGTCAGGTTCATTGAGTTATTTTCGTATGAATATGAACTGCCATCTGCCTCATCATTCACTGTCTCGTGAGAGTCTGAATGATTGAGAGGTAAACGAGTCACAGCCGAGCACTCAGTCAGTAGCTCAGTCAGCACGTTTATTCTGCCGTGATGGTAGTCAATACTTGTTTTGAATGACTGAGCGTACATATTTTCTATGGAAAAATGACTCAATTACATGCTGTGTGAGCAAAGGCAAGCGGTGTGAGTCGCCTGTTCGTGAGTGACTGAATGTTTTTGTTGGCTCTTTCATTGCCTCGTCCTTTACTGTTTGGTACAAACGGTCTGCACAGAGCAATGGATTGAATAGACTTGTGCTTTCACACTAAACCTAAGCAGTCAATAATTTTACGCTTTGGATTCTTCAACGGCACGATCGCATATTACCTTCGGCACAATACGCAACTCCACGAGTGCAAACACAAGTCCGGCGCTCCAGGCGACCGTACGGCAGCTGCAGCTTCAAGACCTGTGGCTGAAGCTATATCCCACCACCCCCGCACCCACATACGTTACGCACAATGCGGCATCCAGGCTCGATCGCATGTATGTAAGCTATGCGCTTTGCGAGCATCTGCGAAGTGCTGCCACACACGTATGTTCGTTCACAGATCCCAACGCTCTTACAGCGCGAATTTGCCTTCCCCACCTCGGTCGTGAACAAGGACGTGGATTTTGGTCCCTTTGCCCTCATCTTTTGACTACCGAAAACATCGACGATTTCCAAGTCCGGTGGCAGTTTTGGACCCACCAGCGGAGGAATTTCCCCGTTGGATGACATAGTGGATCTCATACGCAAAGCCAAAAATTAAATCGTTTTTTTTTTCGTTGGAAGTCAAGCGAAGCATTCAGAATACCAACGTTTCTACGCGCAATTGAGGCTCGCGTATGATGGCTACTACCAAAATCCAGACATCTACTGCGTGAAAGCGAAAATGTTTACGCTGCAGCGGTGCTTCGCACAACATTTCATTCGGATCAATGAAACATTCGTAGCTGGTGAGAACATATCCACCTTCCAGATGGGTGATAGACAACGTAAAAAAACAATCATCACAGAGTTGCAGAACGAGCGAGGATAGCAAATTCAAGGCTCCCTGGAGATCGAGCAGCACATGCTCCGATACTTCAAGGACTTGTATGCGGCGGAGGAGACCAGGCAAGTTAGGGAGGCGATGTTTGAAACCGAGAGAGCAGTGCCCGAGAACGACGAAGCTAACGCTGCTCTTGTGGCAGAAATCAGCATCAACGAATTGAAAAATGCCATCCGAACGTCACAAAAACGAAATTCGCCGGGTATCGATGGTCTCGAGAGCTCTACTTCGTCACCAATGAAGCTATGGCGGATGAGCTCCCTTCGGAATTTGCCGATGGCAGTATCGTATTGGTTACTCGATGGAACACCGAGAGCATACCGTCCGATCAGCCTGCTCAACGTCGACTTCAAAATTCTCTCCCGCGTGATGAAGACCCACCTGGAACACATTCTCCGGACACATCGAGTCCTGAGCGACGCGCAAAAATGTGCCAACACCGATCGATCCATCTTGCAAGCCACGCTCTCGCTTAAGGATCGTGTAGCACAGCTAACAGAAAGCAAAAAGGGAAGATGATCTCTTTCGATCTCGACCAAACGTTCGATCGGGTTTCTCACGAGTTCCTGCATCGGACTCTTTTATCTCTGGGTTTCAACCAGGGTTTCGTCGGCTGGCTCTCTTGGGTCGCTGCTGCGTCTTCGCCACGTCTGCTGGTGAATGGGCGCCTTTCACAGCCGTTCCGTATAGAGCGATCCGTACGGCAGGGAGACCCAATGTTGATGTTGCTTTTCGTGCTTTATCTCCATCGCGTCCTTACTCGGGTAGAGCGAGTTTGTGGTGGTGACCTTTGCGTTGCATACGCCGACGACATCACGTTGATTGCAACCTCATCACAAACAATCGACGGTAAATACCGTATCGACCGTGATAAACTGTTCGGCAGTCTTCTGGACATTAGCTACAAACTCTCAGGATCTATCAATTGATACCCACTGTTTTCCATTGTATTGTTAAAGTCCCCAGAATTAGCTATCCACTGGACTAGAGACTTCCCTGATTGCCCAAATGCCATCAACTACGGCTGGCTCCAAGTCCTAAGTGCAGATAGTCGTGTGCATATGCTCGTTATTGCACTTAGTTTGGAGTCACCTATTGTCATTGAGATAAGTCTAATGAACTTTTTCCTACAATTTCAGTACATTTCCAATTTGTTTCGTCAGTTACAAAGAATAAATCATGTTCTCCAGAACCCTCATAAAACTAAAATTGTGACTTGGTATGTGCCGTCCACAAAATCTCAGAAAGTTGGTTCACTGCATCACCACCTAAACTCACTTTTAAATTTTCAGGACTCACCATTCAGGTATACTGGACTTATCCTTAGTGGATTGTTCATCTCGCCGTTGGAAAATTCTAGAATTGCCCAATACAACTTTCCCTTGAAGAGCAAAAATTTACTTTTTGATGGCATCAAAAACAAGCGCTTCATGTGTAAACTAGTAAGAGTTAGATAAACTACCTGCAATTGTGCACTGCACTAACAGTCGAACAAGAACGAACAAAGGTACCAAGAGTGGCACCCCACACACACACACACACTCACCCTCATGCTGACGTTCGGCATCAGTATCCCGACTGAGTTCGGTTTCTGGAACAAATCCAGCGCCATGATGCCCCCGGTTTCGCTCATCGCGTAGCCCACGTACACCCGCCCGTTGGGCATCAGCGCGTTGGCCCGTTGTTTCAACGCGTCCGGCAGCGAACTGCCACCACACCCGACCGTTTTCAGCGTAGGCAGTGCCAGCTGCCGCACCTCACAGTATTGCACAATGTCTGCCAGCATCGGCGGTGGAACGAATGCATTGGTAACTTCATATTTCATCACCAGCTCGCAGGCGTACGCCGGCGAGAAGGGCCGGCTCGTAGTGACCCGTTTGAATCCGTTGAACACGGTCAGCAGCAACATCTGGAAGGCGGATATCCAGTACAGGGAACTGAAGCACAGCATCGTGTTGGAACCCATGTGGCTGATCATGGTGTACGGAGCGATCAGTTGGGCGTGCGTCAAGCAAACGGCCTTCGGTAGACCGGTAGTTCCCGAAGAACACACTACAACGGCCGTCGTTCGGTCCGAATCGCCGATATACGGTGGCCGGTAGAGTTTTTCACCATCATGCGGTTCAAAAAGTCGCATCTGCTTATCCGATCCATCAAGAACCACCACCTGGGCTTCAAACTTGGCAAGCTTGATGGAGCTTTGCACCGTCGACAGGCTCTGCTCGGTACAGAAAACCAATTTCGGTTTCGTGATGCCCATCAGGTGGACAAGATCAGATTCTTGGAACGACGCATCCAACGTATGCACGGGAGCTCCGATGAGGAAACAGCCGAACAGAATCGACGTAACGCACGAACGATTGTCGACGACCATGCACACCATGTCCCCCTTGGAGATCTTGAACGTCTGTGCGAGGTTCAAGGCCGCCCGGATCATTTGCAGCCGCAGCTTGTCGCAGGTGTACTCCTCCCCCGTATCGGCATCGATCTGGATCAGCTTGTCCGGAGTCCGCTCGAGGATGTTCACAATCACCTGCCCGATGCTGGCAGCCGGATTGATGACCGGTGGCTGCCGAGGCCCGAACCAGGTACGCGACGTTGGATCAAAGTGGGACATTTCGCTTGTAACTACCGATTCTGACTAACTGACGGAGTTCCACTCGTCGAAAGCAAAATTTATAACTTCTCCCCGTTTTCTTATCGGCAAAGAACGGTATCTCAAGTGATGGTGCATCGTTCAAGAGGGATTTACCAGGCCAGACATGGCAAATATTTTAGAAGAAATAACTCAGTTGCTTGGGATTACCTACCCTGCGTAGATACGGAGATTATGGCAACCGATGCCTTCGTTCAAGTGTCTTCCGCGTGCCCTCGGGGAATTCATCACGGGTATCGCGTTGTTATGTGGACACGGTAGTAAGGTTGGAAATTTATTCAAAGCGACGCGGCAAAATTGGCGCTACAGGTGGCAGAGGCGCCTGCCAATTGGAATGACATGGAATGGAATGAATTTCGCTCTCGTCGTGGTTCGATGATTTCGGCTGCGCCGTCCAATGTTGAGTTGAAGCCCATTTTTTTTTCACTTTGCATCGATTAGCATGGAGCTGGTGTTTTCTGTTTCTGTTGTTGTCTGAGCGATACATTATGGTTGTTTTTACATTTCACTATTCATTTTGGCACTGTGCAATAAGTGAAATGATAGCGGTTGCATGTTAACTGAGTATGGCAGTAGAAGTGTGATATACGGTATGTTTTAATTTGCAATGAGGATCAGGCTGTTTGATTTATTATACTTGAAGAAGTAGGTAGTTGGGTTCTCGATAAAATTGACGTTTAATTGAAATTGCTTGTACATTTTACACAGTCAGCCAGTCAAGCTCTAAAGTAACATAACGGCCCTAGGCAAGTAGAACAATAACGACGCAATACTTATGGATGCACGCTAACTTGAAAGTACCCATTAATGGTTGAAAAAGACCCATTTTGAAGAAAAGTGGCTTAACTCATTAAATGAGTAAATTTTTTACCCATTAATGAGTATCTGTTACCCATTAATGAGTAATTGTTAATCATTAATGGGTAACAGATACTCATTAATGGGTAAAATTGTTTAATCATTAATGAGTTAAGCCACTTTTCTTCAAAATGGGTCTTTTTTTACTCATTAATGAGTACTTTCAAGTTAGCGTGTGGTACTGTATTCAGTGCCGAATTTAGGATCCGGGGTAACTATGCTTAGGGGGTTCATATTATCTGCTTTCGAAGTTTGAATTTCAAATGCGCGTTCGTATTTTTCGTCCTACCATCTAGATAATTCGACAGTGAAGGCGTAAACGCGATGATCGATTCTCATCGTCGATTTTCTCTTTTGTTAATAACTCGCTAGAATTAACGTTTCTAGGTGCGTTTGCTGTTGCTTTTGATAGCCAATACAACATGTTACAACTCTGCATTGAACAAATTCTAGAAAATTGTTTCGCTTAGTTGTAGCAATGCAAAGAGAAAATCGATGAAGAGAATCGATCATCGCTTATGCGCCCTTATGCATGCTCACTGTGGAATTATCAATTTTACTAAATCGACGTTCAATAGCATTCAATATCAGTTTACAAATATATCATAGGGTTGGAACGATTGTTGTCCTTAACTTGAAAGCAACATTGTTCAATGAGATAAGTGTCAATCAATATTTTTTATAAATATGATAAAATGCTTCCAGTGTTAGAACTTAACAAATTGACAATTTGTCGTTCCAGCGCATCCCGTGCATAATGGTGTCGGATGTCGATGTACTTGGTTCGAGGATTACAGCCGCTGTTCTTTGCCACTCGCAATGGGGCTCTGGTTGTCGCAGTTGATGGTAATTGGGCCGCTTGCTTCAAACTGTTCGGTCAGCCCTGCCACCATGATGCTTCTTGAACAGCGGCAGACAGTGCCATATACTCTGCTTTGCATAGACGAGTGCACGGATGGATTTGAGTTCACTCACTCGACAAAAAGTGACACAACAGCGGGGCCCTGTTTACTAAGGCTGTGAACCATTTGCCGAGTTAAATTTAACTCGTAGTTAAAAGTGACATTTCGAAAGTTATTTCTTATGTTCGAAAATCCCCGTGCTGTCGATCGACCGGTTTTCAAGCCACGGTCGTCAAAATTTAACTTCTTGTCTGTCAGAAATAACCACGCTCGGATAGCAGGGTTAATCGATAACTTTCCATCTGTCAAATTTTTTACCAAAAGTTAAAATAATCCACCAAATGGTTCAGAGCCTAAAAATGAACACATGAATAATATTCGCGTAATATTTGAAACGGGCCTATCAACTTTTGTACACAATACTTGTTAAGCCCTTTTCGTGCGAACCGAATACGCCCACGCAAACTAGCAACACCATCGGGTAGGGGAAATTCTCTCCTTCCCAATAGTGCTCTTAGTTTGCGTGGGCGTACTTCGGTTCTCGTGAAAATGACATAGGAAGTTGTTTGCAAAAGTTGATAGACCCTTTTCAAAAGTTACGCGAGCATTATTCATGTGTTCATTTTTAGTAAACAGGGCCCCGCTGTTGTGTCACTTTTTGTCGAGCGAGTGAACTCAAATCCATCCGTGCACTCGTCTATGTCGATAAGGTTGGCGCTTGCAGCACAGCCGCTGGCTGGTGAACTTCCTGTCGCCCACGTCAGCCGCCCAGTCAGCATCACTGTAGCCGTTGATGTTGTTTTCTCCGTCCTTACGGTACACAAGCTTCAAAGAAGGTAGCGAAACAGGGGTTTTACAGCACTCCAATGCTGCAGTCTGGGGTTTGAAATGTACCGACTCAGTTGATTCACGGCGTACAAGATATCCGGTCGAGTGCACTGAGCAAGGTGCGTCAGGCTTCCTGGTTCGGAATGTTGGCCATCTGTCCTGCTTCCTGATCGGTCTTTAGAGCCATGTCATTCGTTATTACCACCTTTGCTGGTTTGCAGTTTGCCATGTTTAATTTTTCAAGCATCGCCTCTACGTAGACTTTCTGGTCGAGCGCTATCGATTCGTCTGTGCGGGTGATTTGAATTCCGATGCAGTTCTTTGCCTCACCCAGATTCTTCATGCGGAAGTGACCATTAGAACTCTTTCGTCTGCTCGTCCATCAATCGTCGTTCGAAAATATCATAACATCATTAACATATTTTTATTATTTATTTATTGCTACGAATATCATGCGATCGTACTTCGCTTGGGTCAGCCCAAAATCCTTCAACATCTGGTCCAGGTTCTTGTTCCAGACGCGACTGGATTGTTTCACCCCATACGGTGTCTTGTTTAGGTAGCACACCATGGATGGATTCCGCCGATCTACAAAAAGCGCAGGTTGCTGCATGTAGATTTCTGCAATTAAAGGGTGTCCCACATCAAATTGCATCACGGAAAAAACACTGTAGTAAATTACCCATTGGGTATTTTCTCTTGAAAATTTGAGTAGAAGTAGTTTAGAGTGTATTGTTAACACTGTATTTTTATCGCTGTCAGTTTTTCGAAAATTGAAAAAAAATGGCGTCATTCGAAAAGCAACGTTGCGAATTGATTTTGCGCAAGCACCTGGAAAATTCTCAATTCTCTCATCGGGACATCGGAAAACAACTCGGAATCGTGCAGTCAACGAGTCGTGTGATTAAACGTTACTACGAAACTCTGAGCATCGAACGGAAGGAGAATTTCGGTCAGAATGGATGTTCTATTAGTGATCAGGATCACAAGCGTGTCGTGAAAGCGTTTAAGCGGAATCCCAATGCTTCGTTCATGGATGTGGCCAAAAGAGAGCCGAGGACCTGGAGGGACTGCATACGTACAAAGTGAAGAAGGCTCCAAATCGTGACGAACGTCAAAATACGGTGGGAAATTCACGGGTCCGGAAACTGTACACCAAGATGCTGACAAAGCCTCATTGTTTCATCATGGATGATGAGGCTTACGTCGAGGCGGACTTCCGGCATGTTCCGGAGGAAGTTAGGAAGCAGAAACTTTCAAAGTTTGCCAAGAAATACATGATTTGGCAAGCGATCTGCTCGTATGTCCAGATTGTGCTTCGCTACCATCGCGAACAGATATCGCAGCAAACTGTGACGAACAACCAATGTCTCATCATCATCCAGCCTCTTTCGCTGCGAGAACCCCTTGATGGCAAGACGTGCCTTATGTCGGTCAAGGTTTCCTTCGGCATCCAGTTTGGTCTTGAACACCCACTTGCAACGGGTCGCCTTCATATTGTTAGGAAGTAGGTCCATGTTTTGTTGCTTCCACCTTTTCGCATTGTTACCTGTCATTGCTTCTTGATGCGTAACTGGGTCATCGGGGATTGTGAGTCGCTCGTCACTCTGCTGCTGGGAAGTCACACTGGTAAATTGGCTCGGCCTCTCAGGTCCCAGGGATGAACCACTTGCTTCGCCATCGGTATTAGAAATTTGATAAGATGGAGAACCGGCTAAGCCTTCGCTTTCCTTGGCTTCAATTGGACCAGTCCAAGGGGTAACTCACTCTGCCACCTTGTGTTTAACACTCCAAAAACACAGTTCGACACACTCCAAACACACTTCCACCAGAATTTTCTATTAATTCTGGCACCACTTCCATGACTGTTTACATTCGATCAAGCATTCGATTGTTATGTAAACAGTAGTTTTACATCTACGACGAATTCATTCAGAGAAATATGCGAGATGGCTCAGAACGTGGCAGAGAAGGCAGCCATTGGTGGACCTTCTCTCGAAAGCTTGTATGGGAGGTACGCGGATCGACCACATGAGTTTAGTTTCATGGAGGGGAAGATCCTGTGCATTCTGGATCTTGCGGATATTGTGCGAATGGAATTAATCTGTTTTTAAAAGCACGTAAAAAAGAGCGAGTCAGGGCGTGAATGCATCTTGGGTCCGCCGAAGAACAAGACGACGAATTTGATGGTCACAAGAAAAAACTCTGAATGAAGGGCTTTTTCTATGTCAACCAATGCATGCGTTTGAGTAAATCTTCCAGTTACTACCAGCTTTATTAGGCTTCCATATTAAATTTATATTTGTTAGAAAAGTCAACAACGTCTTGCGCTAGGTACGAATTGTTGTGTTTAGAGGCTTTGCAATAAGCCGAGGATGTAGTT